ACCAGGGATTATTCTAGAACCCCTTAGGCATGAATAAAACCGTCCAAGCCTTTATGGAGAGTTCTAGATTGCCTCTTGCTGAACTATTGAACAATTGCACTTCAGTCCCTGCACTTTTAATTAATTCTTTTAATCCCAAAATTAATTCCAATTAATTTCTGATTAAATATTAATTAAATATTACTATTTCTAATTAACATATTATTTTCATAATATATTAATAACTCTTTTATTTTAATTTATTAATCAAATAATAAATCAACCTCTTTCTCCAAAATCACCCTGCCTAGTTGCTAGTCTTGAGGGCAACCCAAAAGGATTGTGCTACTATCAATTCAGTATATACCAATCATAGTTATGGGCTTAGACACTTAATCCAACAGAAACACTGTCACGGATCATGGTATCAACCATGTCATCTACCCTCAACCAGCTCCTTAGAATCCTCGTGACTTTCCTAGATTCGAGTATGGATCATGTGCTTCCGATAGTATGGGCCAATACTACCTTCCACACCTATCCATACTTTCCTCAAGAACCATCACGAGTCCTCTAAGTTACCTACTCATGATGGTACCTCCAACACCTACTACACAATGTAACAACTGCACTAAAGCACTTCCTAGGCTTTCCTAGGAAATCCCACCTCCCCTTCCATCAGCTGCTGAAGAACCCCTATTAATGTCAGCTAACCACTTCATGAATACAATTACATGCAACGAAACTTAAATAATCTTTCGACTAAAATACCCAACCCTATAACAGTTAGAATCAAATGAGAGTTGCGCAATTGGACCAAATCCTTCACTCTAAGATTATTTAACCTTCATAGCATGTAATTTAACATATTCATTTGATATTTAACTCACATCAATATGAGTCCCACAAAGCACAAAGCAAGCAACATTCGAGCAGTGGAGTCAAAATTGCACTAAGACACAATAAAATCAGGCAAATCCTCATACACAATTCCCAACCTCTAGACCCAAGCATCTAGGATACACATTCATCTTATCCTCATGCTCTCAAGAGTGGCTAATCATTCCTCACGCTGACCTGCTATAAACTGCACCCACTCATGAAACTTCCACTAACCGTGCAGCCACTAGTGCATGTTAATCATACATAACGTTGGATCCCATACATAGTCGAATAGTTGAATATACCTTAAACCCTTAATAAGAAAATAACAGGAATTAAAGCTAAATCAAACATTCTCAGGCTATAGAATCTTTGTTATGTACAACTATATTGCATACACTAAGAAACTACAGTAATGATGTTAATTTCATCTAACATATAAGAAGTCATCCTAGGCTATCAAGCATCATACATTAGGCAGTTTTATCATACAATTCCTGAAGATCCATAGCCTATCACTAGCATGCAGTTCTATCATAGCATCATAAGAAAATAGTAATGTGGGTATCTTGGGGTAAAATTTCTTGATCTGGCTGATCGTACACATCTCATCCTTCCTAGGTTACTTTTAAAAATAATTTAAATTTAATTTTAAAATTATTTTGAAAACTTTTACAGATCCTTAATTTGAGTCTGGATTCACACGAATGTTCATCCAATTCTGTCAAACCGGGGCTCTGATACCAACTTGTAATATCCCCAAAATTATGATAAAATTGTTCATTTTTAAATCCAAAGAAATCATTGTTTTCAGACAAAACCCCAAATCAAAACCAATCGTTTACAAAACATTGTTCTCAAAAGTAGAAACCATATATCATAGTGTTCCAAATCAGTATCATCATAAATCTCCAAAATATATATCGTCGAAGGATCTGTACGATCATGCCTTTGCTTTCCTACGATCATCTGAAGTATCTGAAACATAAACTTAAACCATAAGCATAAAGCTTAGTGAGTTCCCCCAAGGTACCACCACACAACATATAACATATATAATCATATATGATGGGTCCAATCAGTCATCAGACTGGAATACCCTCGGGTCCACAATCTCCCGGTTGGATTACCCCTAGCCCAAACCTTTTGGTTGGAAGGCCCCGTTCCACAACCTTTCAGCTAGCTTGCCCAATACATAACAGGTCCATAACCTCCTGGTTGGATTACCCTGGCCCACAACCTCCTAGTTCGATTGCCATACATACTACATACTGGGTACACAACCTCCTAATTAGATTACCCTTGGCCCACAACCTCCCGGTTGGATTGCCCTGGCCCACAACCTCCTGGTTGGATTGCCCCGGGTTTGTTGACTGGCAGCACAAAGTAGTATAGTCTCAACCTAACCACACTCTATCAACATATGCATTAGATAAACATATAACCAGTTAGCAGACAAACATGCAGATCTAGAGATCACTACCGCATAGCAACATCCTATATACCAAGATACAGATCTAACATATCACTACAACATAACAACATAGTATATACCAGGACTCAGTTCTAACAGATCAATACAACATAGCGACATCCTCTAAACCATTATATATAAATCAGAGGACTGACATTGGTGCCTTCAACCCATAAGTACAGTGAGGAAAACTCACCTCCCAGTATGAAAAGATAGTTGAACAGGAAATTGCTCCTATCAGCTCAACCAGTTACCTATTCATGAAAAATGACAAACTCAATTAAAATTCAAAATACCCAAAATACCCCCAGGTCAAGCTAGGTCAAAATCTGGTCAAAGTCAAAAGTCAACAAAATCAGCCGAGTTGACTCAACTGAGTATGCCCAGCGTACTCAGTTTGTACGTTCAGCGTACGCAAGGCTTGACTAAATTCGGGATGTTGACCATGTAAGCACTGCATACTCCAGCGTACGCGCCATCCAGCCACACCTTTGATTAAGAGCTTAATCCTTAAGCCATTTTCGCCCAAAAATTCAGATCTATCCCTAAAATTATGTCCTTAACCATAAATTTTCCAACTTTATGGTCTTGCATGACTATTAAGTGCTCACTACAAAAACCCTAACTTCTTAACCCATTAAGACATCCTAGTACTTGCATGGAAGGAAACTAATGACCAAGATCATGTTTTTATGCTTCTAAACACCCCAAAACGTCTGAAAGGACAACTTATATGAATTAGAGTAACCCATACTCATAATACCAAGCTTATGGGACCAAAAGAACACAAATTCATAGCTACACAAGATTTAATCAACACTTCATCAAGTTCAGAGCTTTTTACCTTCAAATGATGTCAAATGGTGATGAGATGTTGGATCTAAAGTGCTCCATTCTTCTAGGATGGTTACCTTTTCCTTCTTCCTCCTTTAAGAACGCCAAAATATATACACTCAATGCTCAAAAATGCTCTCAATGGATTAGGGTTTGCATAGGGGTCGAATTCGGGCTGGAGGCTGATGGATGAAAGGAGCCTTGAGAGTTAAGGATGAATAAATAGTGCACAAACCCTAAATATTAGGGTTTTAGGTCTAGGCCACGTACGCCCCGCGTACGCTTGGGTGCGCCCATCGTACGCAAGTAGCTCCAAAAATTACAAAAAATTTCATTTATGACTAATTTGCAAATAATTCTCATAACAAGGGTGAAAATGAAAATTCCTGGAAATCGAGATGTTACAGCTAGTTAGGGATAATAACATAAAAATCACTATATTTTGTCCCTTTTTTTTCGGTTTAACCAACCAAATTTAAATAGTGTTAAAAACCCACCCATTTTGATAAAAGTTCTATCACAATCACTAAGACATGCAAATACAGGTTTTCCCCCTTTTTGTTCTAAAAAAACGTTAATACATATAGTGTCGTCGAAAAGATATGATTTCATATTGGAGGTTACAAAGAGAAAAATTAGCTAATGTCATAAGATATTCCTTCCGTACATCGTCGAATAAAATGTTGATAAATAATTGAGACAAAATGGGATTAAAGGTAAAAAAATAACATCTTAATTGCAAAACTTTCCCATTATAATGTTAAAATAGATATACCGCCACACCTTATGACTATAGCCCTTAGATAGCTTTTGAAAACATACACAATCTTGTGAAAATATTCTTGGGACATGAGATAAATAGAGGAGTTTCATCCTTACAATAGCAAAATTCTATTTCATCATTCCTTACTTAGTTTATGTTTGTGATATTTGAAGAAAAAATCATTTTTGTGGAGCTAATGTGTTGTACAAGAAGAAGAAACAGTAACATGACATAAGATTTTAGAATCGATTATTTTAAGTGATCAATACTTAGTACACACGTTAGTTAGGGGGGTATATTGTTGCATGTTGGTAGTCAGCTCTATTAATAAAAATAACAAAGAATATGTTAACGTTGAGTTTACAAGAAAAATGTTTTATGTCTAAAACGGAAAAAAAAATATAAAATGCAAGGGTTTTTTTATGAATAAACCTAATTATATTGATAACCGGTTTTATGGTTGAAATAAAAATAATAATAATTAAAATTTTTGTTTTTTTACATAAATTTTTTTAAATTTAAAAAGAATAAAAATTAAAATATAAGGTCTTATAGAATAAAAAGAAAACTTTTTAGAAAACAGTATATATATAATTGTTAATTTATTGGATAATACCAAAGAGTTGTTTTAAAGTTAGAACCAATACCAATTACTTGTATAAATGTAGTTGTGTGTTTTAAGTCGTACACTCTAGATGAGTTTTTACTTCTTTTGTAATATCGATTTTGATGAATTTTCACAAATCCTATATAACCATTATTGGATCGCTTTTTCTCATAAATTTATAGCATTGTTGAGAAATATTTTAGTTATTTGTTAGATGTCTTTAAAAAAATCAACAAAAGCAAGATAATATCAGTTCATAATTTCTTTTCAATAATATGAGTACTTTACGAGGATTTTGGTGGTTAATTTTTGTAGCAAAAATAAAAGTTAACATAAATAATTCTACAATTTCCGTTGTTCTATATAAGTTCTAACCTATAATTTCCTTCTTAAAAAAGAAATAAAAAGAAAATGAAAATAATCTTAAAAAAAAAAAAAGAGAAATGTCTAAAAATAAGACCAAAGAGAAGTACTATAATTAATCCGTGGGTAACACGTAGGCTGCATGTGTTTTGATGTAAGTCGTACGTTGACCGATCTACTCTTGGATTCACCCCAAAAGCATTGACTTCTACTAAATTACACTCCAAGCAGCACATAGTAGAGTATTGTTATTGGCAAAGCAATCAACATCCCAAAAATAACCCTGCAAATTAATATGAATATTAATTACTTGTAACTATTTTATACATGGATTTTATTAAGTTTACAATTAATTAATTAATGATATATAGAAAACGACTTACGCAGTACTAAGAATATCGGCATGAACGTTGTACTCCTTCGCAAAAACAAACGGCACAATTCCTTGTGGCAATGCTGCCTACAGTATTTTGAAATTAATTATAATTAGAATTAGTGACGATTTGTATCAATTTATTGAAATACTTAAAAATAAGTATTGATTTTTAATTAACCTGAACGATGGCTACATGAAGAAGAACACCACGAAGACCGATGGCAATGGAAGTAGCAGCCATCACTGCTGGCCCAGTTAAGAACCTCACTGCCATTGAAAAGGTCGCCACTCGTTGCCCACATGCTATAATTTTTGGTTGTAATGCCATAAATAACCCTATACATACGTACAACATTCAAAGCACAAAGGACAATTATTAACCTTCAATAATTATTATCAAAATAATCGTACAAGTTATTTATATGACTTAATTAATTAATTAATTCCTAGCTCGAATAATTAATTTACCTAGGCTAAACATCGCCATTCCTAGACCTGCATCGGATAAAATTGCTATTGATCCACTTACAATGGTTGGCATTTTAATATCCCACCTGTAAAAAGAATTACAAAGATGATGAAAAGTTAATATTAATGCTTAATTAACGAGTTAAATATGGTAATGTACGTCGTAAAGTTGATGTTAATTAAGAGAATTAATCGGACCTGAAGGAAACTAGAGACCAAATGAGACCCAAGAGGCTGGAATACGTGTTGGGGTTTCGAATAAGCTTTCGCCAAACCATTATCAGAATCAGCCTTGTCATGACACTCGCCGGCGGCATACGGTGGTTCTTGTTCTGATCGGCTTCTTCGTTTCCAAATTTCTTGAATGGAGGTGATCCGCTTATTCGTTGTTTTGCTTCGTCTATATCGATCTCTTTCTGTTCTCCATAGGTTTTTGTCATAGGACTTGCATTTTCTGTAACGAAAGAACGTCAATTTTCTGTATCTAAAGAACACAAAAAACGATCGTTAAAAGTTTCATGTAGTTAACCTGGTGTAGTAATAGCTTTTGAAGCGTCAATGGCTCCAAATTCAGCAGCAGCCTTGTTGACTGCATGTTTCATGTTACCTTCTGAAACAGGAGATGCAGTTGAGCTCCATACAAACATGTGAAGCTCCTTACTGTTATTGGGCGGTGGCGCACCGATTTCTTTCTTCTTGGGACCGCTGGTGCCACCACCGGCAGCAGTACTACTGCTGGAGGCTAATGAAAAGGTAGGGTTTGGAATGGGAGGTGGGTAAGAAGAAACTACATGACCATTGTTGTTGGTAGTAGTACTGTTATTATTGAAGAGTTCACCACTCATACTCCTTCCTCCTGTTCTCTTCTTCCCCATCCTCAACATTTCTTCTTCGAAATTTGATGTTCTTGGTGTCGGACCTTTTGAGGACTGCATCGAGAAAATGTCCCCACCTCCGAAGCTACTAGTGTACCCGTGTTTAGGGCTTGTGGCTTTACTAAACATAGCGTAAAAGTCCGACTGGTTGAAACTGGATGCCCTCGGTGTCGGACCCCTAGACGACTGAACGGAGTAGATCTCAACTCCGGTGAGGTTCGAGGCCCTCGGTGTTATACCGGTGACATTATGGGACTTATTGTAAGAGGAGATCACAGATCGTGAGGAGGCGGTGGAAGACCTCCTGACCACCACGTGAAGCTTCCCGTCGTCGCCTATCTCGGCGTCAGTCTGTAACGGCTCGCGGCCGTTCAACGACACAACATCGGATTCAACATGGAAAGACGTAATTGAACCGGCGGTTTCCGGGAACTGCTCAGTTATGAGAAGCTTCGCACCTCTGTATTCGAACATGAACAACATAAGCGTGTACCATATGACACTCTGTAACACCACGATTTGCACCATAAGGGAACCGGAGAAATCGCCATACATGGCCTTGAGCAACGGGATGCCCATAACCAAAGTGTTTGGGAGTGTTGAAAGAGAGAACAAGGTGATCATCCACTCCAGGCTACCACTTTTACTCAGCCATTGCCAGACGAACAAAGCAGATAGCATAACGATCTTTTGAAGTGAATCCGCGGCTATGAAATGGTAGTTCATCTCGTAAGGATTATTGGAAGAAATAAAGTGGAAAGAAAGCAATGGAACAGCAAAAACGGCGACAAATCTGTTAATGCCGGAGCACTGATCCGGCGTGAAGATTTTCCACCACCGCACGGAGCCATAAGCTAGCATCATGGCTACATACAGTGGCACAATGGCTGCGAGAACATCGTAAATGTCCTTTCCAGTGATCATGGTGCTTCTGCAACATGTACACAAAGAATCACACCGCCACAAGTTGTCAGTGGTCTTGGTGGTTGTAGGCGGAGGATGGAGGAGGGACAAGGGATATATGGATGGATGAATGGAAGGAGATCCTTATGTATTGGAACTCAATAAGGATAATTAATGAAGCTTGCCAACGGGAATCTTGTATATCTATTATATATACAAAAGAGAAAGATTTTAATCGATTAAATAATTCAAATTTCCAATAATTCATAAAAGATAAATTCATTATTATTCAATTTATGTATTTTGTGTGTAGAGGAGTGTGGTGAAATAGTAGCAATTTGGTCACGTGGACAGCCATGCAGAAACTGCATGTCATACGCGTTTGCGCTGACAATCTGAACATTGATAACGTAAATAACTCTGGAATATATGGTAAAATAAGAGTTTAATTACATTAAACTAATATTCCTTAATTAATTGATCTTTAATAACTCTAAATTGAATAATACAATAAACTTGATTGCATAAACTTTCTTAAATATGAAATTACGAATGTGTACATATTTAGAGATTTTATATCTAAATTATAAAAAAATTAAGCTTTCATATGGAAATTAGCATTATTATTAAAGACAGCATCATGAGATAAACAGATTTTCGAATTAAAAAAAGAAACAGTGTAAACACTGGAGCAGACATCGCCACAGCATCCCTAATGCATGTGGGGGACTTACACTAATATTAAATATATTGAATATCAATTAATATAAGTAACGGTGTTAGATGTCGTGAGATTTAAAATAGATCTCTAGATACCTCGAATACAAGAGACGTGAATGGATTTGGTTCGTATAATTGGATTTGTATTAAAGCAAACAAGATATATAAAGTTGGGTTGAAATATGAATAATGTTTACTAATTGTTGGAGTATTTATTTTGATATGCACATTAATTGTCTACCTAAAAGTATTAAAGACGCGTACCTAATCACCAAGTTGATCAGAAACAACATGAAGTGCAAGAATTTTACTCGAGTTATGAAACATACAACGTTTCTTTTGCACAAAAGTTTTACATTTGCGATTCCATTGTATTTATTTATTTATTATTTTTTTTTGAAAGGCGGAGATATTAAGTAAAAAGAAAGGCTAGCGAGACGCTAGAAAGTTACAAATTACAATCATGAAAGGGAAATACACAATTCAGACCAAGATAAAGAATTAAACTTTAATCTATGCTTAAGCTAATTAAACACAACAAGTTGAATGTCATCCGTAGTCTTTAAAGCAACACATCTTCTCTTGTTAAATACCAAAAAAATTTGGGCTTTCCAAATCAGCCAAAAAACCGAGTAAATAAATGCCAAAGTTATTAGCTTGTTGCCTTCTTTCCCCAAAGCTAAGACATCTAAAACATAAAGTAACTCCACCCTATTTTTTGGAGGCAAGAACTTCAAACTACTCCAATTTAAAAACCAACTCGAGATGATACTAGGAAACTTACAACGAACAAACAGGTGGTCAACCTCTTCATCTTTCAAGTTGCAAAAAGGACATAATGTGGAAGCCACGTAAACTCCTCTGTGGGAAAGATTTGTCATAACCGAAATTTTATTTAATAACAATCTCCAGATGAAACAATTGATCTTTAGAGGTACCCAACTAACCCACTTGAAAACACAAATGTCATTAACATTTACCATCTTATCAGCTACTAAACGCCTTGAAGACCGAACCAAAAACAGGTCTGAGTCTTCTTTTTTTCAACTTCAAGAATCCGAAACAGCATCAAGTTTGGTCTCAATCAAGACCGTAGAAAGTTGTTGCACTTCCTGTGATTCTCGACCTCTCATCGGTTGTCTCGACCAATTCCAGCTTAAGATCCCAGCATCGCCTCCTAAAATCCTGTAAAAAAAACTAGACAATTCTTGTTTGTTTCAATTTTATATAAACTCGGAAAGCAATCTTTGAGGGTATAATCCCCCAACCGTTTAACTTTCTAGGAAAAACATGTTATTTCCAGCCCCTAATCTTCTTATAAAAAGCTCATCAAGTGTAATCCCAAATTCTCCATAATGCTCCTTAATCTCATGTATAGAAAGCCACGTCCCTTTAATACCATACTTTGCAAAAGGCTTCCCATCAACACAAGTGATGTTGTGTATTGCCTTTATACAAGAAAACCATAGAGTTTTCTTTTCGATCTTCAATCTCCACCACCATTTTGCTAAAAGAGCAATGTTCATAATTTTAAGACAACTCACTCCAAGGCCACCTTTGTTTTTTGGTCTAGTCACCAAACTCCAATCCACCCAATGAATTTTTCTCTTATTATCAATACCACCCCAAAGGAGCTTTCTTCTAATGCACTCCAAAATCTCTATCACTTTCTCGATTTATTTATTTCTCGATTATGTCTAACTATGTCGCCATATTTAATTAAATACTAGTTAAACTTTACCTTATATTATCTCTTTCAAAAAAAACTTTACCTTATATTTTTTTAGTAATTACATTTTGTCAATGTGGTTCTTCTCATTTTCACATTTTCCTTTCTTTTTTTAGAAACGGCAAGTTTATTACTACACATGGCAAAGCACCACGAGCAAAAGAAGAAACAAAAACACCATGCAACACTACACTTTACAAACAATTAAGAGGGTTAACAACAATTGTATTTACACAAAATACCCCTGAATTTGACCCACGCAAAAAACATAGTCATTACCATTTCAACATTTTAGTCAACTATTGACCAAAAGGGTAAAATGGTCATTTATGATAATTTAACAAGTTTATGAAGTTGTGACTTCATGAAAATGGCCAAGATGAGTTTAAGTCACTTAGAAGAGGTAAGATGAGTAAGTTCATGAGAAAGAATGCATGAGAAGATGCATTTTTGGCCAAAAGGGTAAAATATATGTTTTTATGCTTTTAGGGCCAAGTTTGTGACTTAACATATTAAAACCTGTATCAAGTCAGTAAGAAATTAATTAACAGAGTTGTATAGTATGCTCCCACCTTCGCGTGGATATAAAGATAATAGAAAAACGGGTATAGAACGAAGAAGTTATGAATGTTAGAAGTTGAGATAAAAGTTGTCCTAAAAGCTGGAATGAAATCAGCGATGCACTTTGCTGATCCTCTAGTTACCACGACGCGATAGACAGATCGCCACAACATGATGGTGTAAGTAAGCTTCCATTGACCGAAGTTAAATGGTCACCACAACGCAGTGGAAACCCCACCACGGCGCAGTTTCGATTCGATCCATTTCATGGGGAGATCGACTGGGATCTCAAAGGTGATGATTTTGGGGTCAAAACCATGCCAAGAGAAGCTATAGATGGTGGATTGTTATGATTTTCATCCTCTCCACATCAAGCTATGATTTCTCCATTTTAGTGAAATGTTTAAATTGGTTAGATTGCTTGGTTTGATCATCCTATAGATTAAGTATGATACTACTGATAGTGTCTAGAAGCTTTAACCAAGCTTTTTGTGTGATTTACATTGTGAAATCCATATAAGTGAGGTTAGGGTTTGAAACCCTAACTAGTGGTTATGTGAATTGATGTATTAGGTTAGATTATAATGAATTAGATAGTATATGATGCTTAATTCATTTTCTGGAATAGATTAAGAGATATAAATTAAGAAGATAAAATTATGATCCATTAAGTGGTCATTTTGACCATAAGAGTCATTAAGCTCTTAATAAGCTAAGAAAAGTATTAAGAGACATGTATATGTGTATGAATAGGCCTAAGAGCAAACAAGATGGATCAAGATGCATCAATTGAAAAACGGAGCCAAGGTGATATGTTTATATATATATATATATATATATATATATATATATATATATATATATATATATATATATATATATATATATATATATATATATATATGTGTGTGTGTGTGTGTGTGTGTGTGTGTGTTGGATCTCGAGGCACTAAGTGAATGCCCTAAAGTTAGTAAATGAAGTACATGTAAGAACATGTATCAAAGCATGTACGTGTATAAAGAGTAAGTAACAAGTATATGTTAGAAACATGTAGCAAAGAATGTATAAATACCTAAGATATGTATGTATGTAAGATGCTAATGGTATTGTGTAGAATACCTATGTGCAAAACATATAGATTAAGTACTTAATGAGTTACGTACTATATGAGAAGTAGAAGGTCTATTAATGAGATAAAGATATAGAATGTCCATGGGACAAGTATTATGTGATGAGTCACATAAAAGAGTTAGAGAATAGTATGATTCCTACGGGAATAATAGTATGATTCCTTCGGGAATAAATAGTATCATTCCTTTGGGAATAAAGAGTATGATTCCTTTGGGAATAAAGAGTATGATTCCTTCGGGAATAAAGAGTATGATTCCTTTGGGAATAAAGAGTATAATTCCTATGGGAATAAGAGTATGATTCCTTAGAGAATAAAGAGTATGATTCCTTCGGGAATGAGATTATGTCTTTGCGGGGAAATAGATGATGATTCCTTTGGGGATGTAGATTGATGATTCCTGTAGGAGTAAATATTGTGTACGGATAGAGAAGAGAGCGAAAAGGTTCCACGAGTGGAACAAGGCAAGAGAGCTATTTTGAGAACTTAGATGTAATCCATGAGGGATTAAGAGTAGGGAATCCATTTTGGATTCAAGAGAAGAAGAATGAATAAGGATCCATGAGGGATCATAAGAGATAGGAGTAAGTCTGGATGAGTGTACCCAACAATATTAGTGGGATGTTGTTTCCCTTAGAATGTTGATGACAATATGGTATGAGATAGGACTGTTGGGTATAGATGAGAACAGAATGATGAGACACTAGAGTTGAGAATAAAGAAATAAAGAGTAAGAAGAGTATGAGAAGGCTTGCTAAAAGTTAGAGATATAAGAAGAATAGAGCAAGAGATAAAGAAGAGCATGCATAGAGACAGAGAAGATTAAAGAAATATTAGAAAAGATAGAGTATGTGAAAGAAAGAAAGTGTGACAACTAGAAAATTTTGGGTCAAACAAAGTCTATGAGGTCTTGTATATAAGCGTACCCACAACATATGTGTATGTAACCTTGTTGCAATATAACTTTGAAAGCCAAAAGTTGAATTATTTGTATAAGTATATACATATATGTACTGCAAACCATGTACGAAATTAAC